ATTGTAATTCTACTGACATAGTTGTAATTCACTGAGCTCCACCCTTTTCTTTCCTTCTCCTCTTGCATTTTCTTTCTCTTTCCAACATTGCAAAATATAGTTAATAATGATATAATTTATGTTTTGGTTTTCATACTGTTTGCCAAAGAATTGCATTTTCCCACAATGTCTTGTTATTCAAATCCAGTCTTTAAGGATAATGTGATTTTTTAGAACTTGCTTCTCTTCCCTCTCTTCCTTTCTCGCCTCTGCGCATATCCACCTGACATTTTTTCAATACATTATTTATTTATTTATTTATTTATCCTCTCCCAAGAATATTTTCCCATTGATTTTTAGGGAGAATGGAAGAGAGAGGGAAAGACACAGAGAGAAAGATCAATGTGAGAGAAACACATCGATTGGTTGCCTCCTGCATGAACCCTTACCAGGACCTGAGCCGGGGAGGAGCCTGAAACCAAGGTATGTGCCCTTAATCAGAATCAAACCCAGGACCCTTTGGTCCACAGGCCAAAGCTGTATCCACTGAGCCAAACTGGCTAGGGCTCCATACGTTTTCTCTGTTAGCAGAGACTGAGCATGTAAGTCAGATGGAAAAGGACAAAAGCCCATATCATCTCACTCATAGTGGAATATAAAATGAAAAGAAACAAAAGAGCCCAGCTGGTGTTGCTCAGTGGTTGAGTGTCAACCTATGAACCAGGGGATCACAGTTCGATTCCCAGTCAGGGCACATGTTCGATCCCCAGTAGGAGGGATGCAGGAGGCAGCCTATCAATGCTTCTCTCTCATCATTGATGTTTCTATCTCTCTCCCTCTCCCTTCCTCTCTCTAAAATCAATAACAATATATATGTTTTTAAAGTAACAAAAGAACTAACAAAGCAAAATAAAAACAATCTCATAGATACAGACAACAGAATGGTGGTTACCAGAGGGCGTGAATGGGGGAAATTGGGTAAAGGGAGTCAAATATATAGTGATAAATGGAAACTAGACTTGTGCTGGTAAGCACACAATAGAGTATACAGATATCAAATTACAATATTGTACATCTGAAATTTATATGTGATTAGCCAATGTGACTTCAGTAAAAAATTAATTAAACATTTAAAAAGAATTTATAATACCTTCTCCTCTTGTCCTCTGACAGATGTTTGAAATTAAACTTTAGAGTCTCAGTTGTTTCTTTTGTTGTTGTTGTTGTTTTTTAATATTGTTATTGATTTCAGAGAGGAAGGGAGGGGGAGAGACAGAAACATCAATGATGAGAATCATTGATCGGCTGCCTCCTGCACGCTCCCTACCGGGGATCGAGCTCGAAACCCGGGCATGTGCCCTTGACCAGAATCAAACCTGGACCCCCTCAGTCCGCAGGCTGACGCTCCATCCACTGAGCCAAACCGGTCAGGGCTAGAGTCTCAGTTTTTTAAGAGAGTTTGTGTGATAGTGATGTCACTAAACCACTGTGCCAGCTTAGGAGATCTCTAGCTTGTTCAGTGCAATTTCAGTCCAAACCAGAGGTGTAGTTCTTCCCACCTTGTCTTTAGGTATCTAGTGGATGCTCAGGCTTATGGGCATTGGAACATTGTGGGAAAGCAACCAAGAGGGGAACTGCCACTGCAAAAAAAAAATAAGCAGTCTTGCTGGGTTTTCAGCCAGTCACTGGCATTTGAAAAATAAGTCATTGCACAACCTGCCCAAGAGATGGAGGTGTGTGGCTGAGGGGGTGGTTGCATTCATCCATGAAGGCAGAGCATTTGACTGGTAGAGACTTCTGAGCCCTTTTATCCAGTGTATCTTCTCTCTGCTCCTCAGACACATCCTCAGTGGTGTGTACTGGGAGTTGGGCAGAGGTACCCACTTACCTTAGGCAACTTACAAGGTAGGTTCTTAGGCAGCACTCCCTCTGCTAGTCCTCCCTTTTTTTCCTTCTTTTTAAAAAAATATATTTATATTGGTTTCAGAGAGGAAGGGAGAGGGAGAGAGAAATAGAAATTTCAATGATGAGAGAGGATCATTGATCGGCTGCCTTCTGAACACTCCCCAGTGGATATCGAGCCCACAACCCCGGCATGTGCCCTTAACAGAATCGAACCTGGGACCCTTCAGTCTACAGGCCAACACTCTATCCACTGAGCCAAACAAGCCAGGGCTCTTCTTTCCTTCTTACTCTCCCCTGGTTCCCACTCACACCTATTGTATCTTTTCCATATGAAAACCTCATTTTCTTTTCTTCTACAATAGAATTGAGCACCCTCTTGTGGACAAAAAAAGAGCCACATACTAAACCAGACAAGCTCAGGGGAGGCCAGCATGGCAGGCCCTACAGAGTCAGAGACCAAAAGTACCCCCATAGAATTATCAGAACATAAATATTCCTATCTAAAAGTGGTTCATGAAGGGTCTTCATATCCTAGGCCTGTAGCTTCCTGGACAAAGGTCAATCTTTACCTTAAGTGAGCCTGTCCATTGTCTTTCTGCATCTAGGATAACATACATTTGAATTATCAGAATAACCTCTTTTACCAGACCTCTTAAAGCACAACCAGACACCAGAGCATGAGACCCCAAATCTCTCATTGTTATCTTGTTTTCTGAATACCATCTCTATGTTTGTATCTAGGATAACATACATTTGAATTGTCAGAATAACCTCTTTTATCAGACCCCTTAAAGCACAACCAGACACCAGAGCATGAGACCACAGAATCCCTCATTGTTATCTTGTTTTCTGAATACCATCTCTATGTGCTGTAAATATTATTAACTATTCTGTACCCACCAGTATAAAAGAAGTATGTGTCCCTCCCCTTTACTTTTTATCCAATTCCAGAGATTTCCCCACTTTGCTTTCTCTCACCCCCTTAATCTACCACCAATGGAACTCATGTAACCCTCCTTATGTCTCCACCTTTGATTCGAACGTGTAAAATAATCTGCAAAACTGTCATTTTTTTTGGAGCATTGTCTCAATTCATTGAGAGTTTGCTTCCTGGAAATTGTCGACAGTTTGGTTCAAATAAATTCATGAAATTTCTCTATAGGTTTGGACATTTCTTAAGTCAAAACCCTCAAAATCAGAGCCCACATCATTGGGCACTGTTTTCTATATGCTGGATGGTAGGAAGGATGGGGTTTCCAAACATTGTACAGAGGTAAGAGGAAACACTTGACCTCTGCATGGAGAGTTAGGAAAGGGGAAAAGAAATTCTCCACCCTGCATTGGGTTAATCCATTAAAACCATCACTGAATGTTCTTTTTATAGAGGTTGAACATTCACACCCTGCTCTACCTGGCGCTTCCTTAAAATGCAAATGAACAAAGAAGGGTATCTGCTGTTAGTTATTTGACCTAAGTAAAGATTAATTTCCAGCCCTTTCCTGAGAGTAATTTTTTATAAATGAGAAACTAAGGAAATTGGGTACTTTGAAGAGGTGCAGAGAGGAGGGCATGACCAGAGATTGTGACCAGGCAAAGAATGGGAAGGCTGTGAGGGTTTTGCTGTAGCCTTGCGCAAGTAAAGTTATATTTACTTCCCAAACCACAAACTTAAAATACTCATGTAATTCTGTTTTCCAGAGCAATAACATCAGTTTGTTCCTTCCAACTATTTATTCATCCTGAACTTGCTGACCATGTCTGTCTTCTCCCTGGTCACACCTACCTGTTCTAGACTATATCTCCCTTGCATCAAACTGAAAACTTTCTAACCCTATCAGTGAACTAGGATAATACAACGCTCTCCTCTCTCACTTGCCATGGGCCCCAAATAGGGATTTTGAACCCTAATAACTTTATGCATACCTCAGTGAGAGTCCAATAAATTCTGTACCCTCAGCCTATATCCCCACAACTGCTTTTCTAAGGAGAGATGAGACCAGGCCAAGCCTTCGATGTTCAATGCAGTGATGTCTAAGAGGTTTAAGCGATTTCTGGACGAGAAAGTGTCCAGAAAGTTGGTTTTTTCAAAGGATTCCAATATCACTGGAGGAACTAAGAAAGCATAAGAGAAATGAACATAATGGAAGCAAATGGGAGGCAATTTGGCAGCAAGAGTAGAGACACTACGTAGCAAAGAATGACCTTCAAGAGAAGCAAAAGCTGCCAAGAAATTGACTGTCGATCAACAGGAAATGACATTCATAGCAGAGCAGTGCGGATAGCACCAGACATGTTACCAACGGCCCCTACACAAAAAGAAAACAAAATTTGGGATACTTTAAGGTATGACAGCTTTGATAATTATTACCTGCTATTTTGATCATCTTCAAACTTAGAATGTTGTGGGGAAGCTAGGACCATATTTTTCTTAACTTTATGACTATCTACCCATTCACCTTTTCCCAAAAACTTCAAGGATTTGTGGCCTGGGAAGTTAGTGTTAGACTAGCTGCTGGAATGTTCTAAGGCTCTGAAACTAACTTGCTTTTCTGGAACTGATGTATTTACCTGATAATCATAATAAACCAAGGACTGCAACAGACCTTTCCCAAGGAGAAAGAAGACAGAGGATAAGGGAATCCTACACCACTGGGGATGGTTTAGGATTTGCCAAATTGTGCACACTTTTTCTTTTAAACTTTCTATACAAGCTTGGCAATGTTTAGGGAAAACTGAAGTAACATTATCAGGGTCAAGTTCATGATCAGTGCTTCATCCCAAACCCCATACTCCATAATTGACTTACTACAAATACTAAGACATTCAGGGTTTTTCTTAAAATTCCTACTGAAGTTTTTGTTCTTATTGTTTTTAATGGCTGCTGGCTCTGCACCAAGTTACACAAATGTCCTACCAGCAAAGTGTCTGTGACAGACAGAATTAATTAATAAAAGTGTAGATGGTCACAGTATCTTTAGCTGTAGTTGCCAATGCAAATGAGTCAGAGGGTTTGCCTCAGACACTGAGTTAATTGTGAAACTCTGCAGCGGGAAATGCCATTGGAGAGTGCTTGCTGACCTCACAGTTGCAAAAACTATTTAAAAAGATGTGGAAACCAGATGTTTCAGTCGCATTGCAGCCTCTGCACTGAGAATTTATCCTGAGGAGCCCCTAATAGGCTATTATTTCTCTACAACTGAGACATGATCATCCTAATTTACTTATTTGTCTTGCTGTGGGAAGACGCGCATGGATGGGGATTCAAGAACGGAATTTTTCATAACTCCATATGGCTTGGTAAGAAACTGTACTCATTGAGCTTCTAGTTGTGAATGTCACTTCTTTGAATTCGTGGAGAAGTGAATCAAAGCAGTAGATTTTTCTGTTCTGGTCAAGCCTGGTGTTTTAAAAAAATGCTTAGGAAAGATAACTTTTGGAATGCCTATACCATTTTTAAAATAGTGTTCCTGCCTTCTAAGATTTAAAAATAGCTTTTTATAAAGTTGTTCAGTAGGAAATAGAGGTTAATATTTATATTCTATATGAAAATATATTTAAGATTTTTCAAAGCAGATATGGTTGTATAGTGGGGAATGTTTGTTTAACAAAAACATCAATGTATTGTTTTGTTTTTATTTCAATGCATTTGCAATGAGATTTTATAGCAGGTAATCGTAATAAAATCATAACAGGCAAATCAGAATATACAATAACTTTATAATCATTGCTCCATGTACTCTGACCCAGAGTGTATATCTTGCTTTTTCCAAAGATTCTTTTAACTAGTTTGACAAAGTCAAAATGTATTTCTGAATGCATTCTTACCATTTTGGTTCCTTTTGTTTGAGCTATCCTTGTACTTTTCTGCCCTTTTTGTTAGATAAGGAACGTTCCTTTTGCTGCTTTGTTTTGTTAAGTGTTAGTGAGGAATGAATTGGACCTAACTGTGAATATAAACAATAAACAAACAAACAAAAAGCCAAATACTGAAAACCCTAAATACCCTTTCTAGTATTCTGAACAATGCTTTAATTCTCATGATACAAATTAATATTGCTTTATGTTCATTATTGTGTTTGGTAGTGAAAATATTTTTGAATTCTTAAGAAGAAAATTGAGGGATTCCTGTATAAAATAAAGAAATAAAGAGAAAGCAAAGTTAACTTCAGGCCAGAGCATGGTTTCATGCTTGCTAAGCAGCGTACAGTTGTAGAATATTTCAGCATGTTTCTCCCTGGTAATAGTAACTGCAGCCATGCGGATTTCATTAAAAAGCTTGATTTGCAATGCACGGCCTTGCCGCCTCTTTTTTCAGCTTAAGCCAGCGAACTAGCTTCGTGCTGAACACTGAGATCCATTTGGCAAAGCTGGGGTCTGGAATTTACCAGAGGAATGAACACGTCTCTGTTTATTTTCACTGCACACAATCAAACTAAGGAGATAGACACAGATTTGTTAGACAGGAAGAAGATGGTCATAAAGCTAGTAAGAATTAAACCCATATGGATGAACTTGGAAATGCTGTAAAACTCTCTAATGCTCAAGTAATTTGGAGCTGTTGTCATTGGTGTTTTTAAAAGTGATTTTGTGTTTTACAAAAATATAAACCTGAACAATAGAAATTCTGTCCTAGTGGTAGAGAGGAGCAAACCCAAATGTTTGTTAATAGTGCTGCAAATTTGAGGCTTGGGGTAATTGCACATTGCTCCAATCTGGGGCAAATTATTGACCAGTCAGCCTAGCATGAATTGTTTACAGTTGGTTAGGTCCATATAGCATGGGAAACTATTTAAGGAGGAAGGAGAGTTGGATTAGAAGGCAGGACTCGGCTAGCAACTATCAAGAACAAGGCACTTGAAACCCTTGGACTCAGTGCCACACCGGTAAAATGAGAAGGTTGAAACCGAGGACCCCTAAAGTTGACTTTTAACTCTGGTATCATAAGTTGAACCAGCATAAATGGGGACTGTCTGTAGTTGCATTGCCCACTCTTGTCCAAGTTGCTTCGGAGTAGGACTTGATCCTCCGCACCTAGCAAACTACCTCATGGTATATGCTCAAAACAACCAGATTGGAAACTAGTGAAAGTTTCGTTAATGAGACTTTACCATATGAAGGAAGTGGAAGTAGGTGAGTTGCAAAGGGGAAAATGATTTTTGTGTTCCTTGTGTTCTCTGGTCTATACTAGTAAGTATCAAATTGACTGAGGTCTTCAGTAATGGGCTTTTACTATATAATGTATAAAAGGATCCCTTGGCGTCCAGAAAAACAGAGAAAATGCCACGCAGCATCCCTATTGGACTGTGGCAGTGTCAACTTCAGTCGGGGGAGGACAGCAAGGAACAATCTTTCTAATTCGGCTGGCTCCATGTCACTGCATGCCAAGATATATGCGTTCTCATTGACAATGGTCTTGATGGTGACTGATTGCCCAGGTTAGTGTACAAGGACTGAACCATAATCTGACAATCTACATAGAACTATTAGAGCCATGGTATGATTATTGCCCTGAGAATCTTTTCTCATTGTTTCCATGGCAAAATGCACTCCAAACTCAAAACAATCCTTTTAAATAGTGATCTACTGGGAGATAACTCATGTGCGATTTAACACTACCAAAAATATGTTGGGAATAAATGGGAGCTAAAAAAGGACAAAACATTTAAAGAACTTAAGAACCAGTAATTAGGTGTGCCCAGAATTTTCTCTGCTGCGTTTGAATCTAGTTTTCTTTTCTTTAATGAAATATTTGTTTGCTTTGGATTCCTTTCAACTTTCCCGCAGTCTTTTATTTGTTTACTAAACTCTCAGTTGTATTGTATTAGTCATTTCCCTCAAATGGATATTGTGGCTTATTTTTCTCCATCATTGCAAGCTGACATAATGGATCAATTTTCATGATTTCTTGGCCTTCACCTCCTTTTTTTCACCTATTAGTTACCTCTCCAAGTTTTTATGTAACTTAAAGCCAAACCCCCCAAAAAAAAGTCAAAACTTGATCACCTTTTTTAGTGTAGGAATGCAATGTTGTACTGAAACCCTTTCAGGTTGTCAGTTCAGAAACTTAATTTCGCCTCAAGTTTCTGTCTATGTCCCCAGGTTTCCCTAAAATTCCCCCTCATTCATATTTTCCCCCAAAGCTTTCTAATAATGGAAATGTAGCTACCCAATGCTGCTGACCCAAGGAACCCTTTGGCAGGAACAATAGCTGATGTAATCTTCCATCTGAGGTCACAAGACTTCCCTTGTTCTGCAAGAATGCAAGTAGTGCATTTACGACTTTTTGTGATTTCACAGAACAAGCAGCAGGCGTATATCACAGAGAAGCTCGGTCCGGCAAATACAAGCTCACCTACACAGAAGCAAAGGCGGTGTGTGAATATGAAGGCGGCCGCCTCGCCACCTACAAGCAACTAGAGGCAGCCAGAAAAATTGGTAACTGATTTGACAATGACTTTCTTTCTTGTTCATCCTTGGGGAAAAAATATCCCATCTTTCCTGTAACTCCCTAGTAAGACTTCTCTATTCACCCCTGCTAATAGTTCTCTAAGTCCCCATGACTTCTCTCATCTCTGCCCTCCTGCTTTTCCCATCTTCTCTGCCTACAGCTAGCTAGTGGAAAGTTCATAATTCTAGTAACTTATTTGGGGTTACAACCCACTGTGAGCTAGTAAATAAAAACCAAAAGAAAATGAAGGCATCTCGATAACATTTAAATTCCTCAGAAATCTAAAGCCATTGCTATTCATTTTAATATTACTCTAGCCTTCTTGACTTCTGAGTTTGGGTTTCCTCATGTGTTGAGCAACGTTATTATGTTGAGTCTTATAAGAAAATTTACATGGTAGAAGAAATACTGAATTTAGTGGCTTTTTTCAAAATGTTTTAATTTTTTTCTCCCCCCCCCCCCGCCCCCCTCAACATTAAGTGGAAGAATGCATTTGTATTTCAGGATCAAAAGCTATGAGAAAAAGGAGGATAAGCAAGTTATAAGATGGCAGGAGAAGGGAACTGGGAAGATGATGTCAGGAGACCTAGTGGAAAAACCCAGTAATTAACTAGTGGGTTTTTGTTTGTTTGGTTGTTTTTTTGTTTTTTTTTTTACTTATTTAGAAAAAGGGGGGAGGTTGCTACCATCTCTCCTGGGCTTTCAGGAGAATCCAAAAGACCACCCTACTTGGAGCTCTTCTCATTGAAGAGCTGATAGAAAAGTACCTGGCAAAACTTATGCTGGCAAAATTACAGGTGTTCTCCAAAGTCTTCCCAGATAACTGCTCAGCCTGTTCCCACAGGATTGAGTGTGACAGTGACTGGAATGATGGATACAAAGCCAGAGTCACTACTAGCTGCCCTGGACTTCAAGTAAAATTGTTCTTGGTTGCCATTGGCAAGTATTTAAACAGAGAGTTAAGAAGTTGAGCAAGAAAAACAGGGCTGAGGCTTTGTTTGAAATTTATGAGCGCTTTTATCCCTCTTCACATTTTAAAAAATACTAGCAAGCAATATCTTGATTCATCCTGAAATAGAAATGACTTAAACTATGATTTGAAAAAAAAAGTTTTCAGGACCGATGGTACTTTCAGAAATTATCTCTTTGCACTGGATAGGTCATTGGTGAAAAGAAGCCAGCTCTGAACATGGAATGTTTTCAGATTCGTGGGGTTACAATTTCTAGTTCACCTTCATCTTTTTTTATTTTTAAGTAATATGTCATTTCTTAGTAAAAGTCAGATGTTATATTTTATGTGTTTCAATTTTATTTTTTTTAAGAAAACCGTTTTTCTCCTTTTACATGAACTGAATTTGGGCAGCAAAGAAACTGTCAGTGCTGGAAGGGACCATCTTTGTAAAGATGACTTTCTCTCAGCTGAGCACGTTTACCTGTTAAGTGTAAAACCCTTTCATTCTCTTGCAGGATTTCATGTTTGTGCTGCTGGGTGGATGGCCAAGGGCAGAGTTGGATACCCTATTGTGAAGCCAGGCCCCCACTGTGGATTTGGAAAAACTGGTATTATTGATTACGGAATCCGTCTCAATAGGAGTGAAAGATGGGATGCCTATTGCTACAATCCACATGGTTTGTTAAAAATAATAATTTTATACTTTGCAAAAACAGTTACATGTTACTAAGATGTTGTTAAAATGAAATAGCTTATTTTTCCAGAGATAAATCAGTTTAGTGATAGTAATTAATAACTGTCATTCATAGAGTGATTATGCTGTGTCACTAATTTATGTTCCTTAATCCGCACTGTCACTCAATAGTCACCACCCTACAAGGAGCTATTTTTATACCCATTTTAGAAATCAGGAAACTGAGAGTTAAGAATTTAAGCAACTTACCCAAAATTATGTAGCCAATAATTAGTAGGCAGGCAGAATTGTGAATTCAGGTCTTGTTTGTGCCATGGAACTTCCTGACCACAAAGGAGGGGGGCGGGGGAAGCAGGTTATGAACTCACACTTAATTAATTAAAACAATTAAATGGTGCTACCAAATGTTAACTGTTCAAAGTTATCCCTTTGCTAGAATGGGGAAAAGGAAACAGAATAAACAGACTTCCTAATTTATTTTTGTGCATCAATTCTTAGATTTCCAACTAAGCAACTCTCACTCTGTGGTTTGTTTCAGTAATTACATATTAGGTATACTAGTCATTATTATATAGTATATTTTTATTCCTATTCTTATTCCATGGTGGGTAGTAGCTAGGAAAACTTTAAAGAGCAAAATTAACTTTTTATAATTACTATAAAGAGTTACTCTTTGTTCATATTCTTGGGGGAAAAAAATACACTATTCCTTTTGGATGTAATTCCTCCAGGATAATATTACAAAGTGTTAAAATGTGTTACAAAATCTTTTCTGCATTTATGTTCATAAACATCCTCAGGTGGTGTCCCATTTGGATCTACCTTACAAGAAAGTCCACAACACAGAGGAGAATTACAATAAAGTTTCAGCCTATTATTATAGAATTTATTAATGATTTTAACTACTGTTCTCATGCTTTTAACTAATCTATATCTCAGTGTAATGTGTATTTCATGTAGAAAAGAATTTTGCCTAGAGCTTCACCTATTCCCACTTGAGGCCAAATATGAATAAATGCAGTGCATTTATATAGGACTATAATTTCCAAATCACTTTGATATATTTTAAGCCTATCCAGTACTACACTGTATTTAATCCTATATTTAGTCATTGTTAATAATTCATAGACCTTCTTTTCCTTCTCTCTCTCCCTCTCTTTCTTTTTCTTCAATATATTTATACAGGCAACTTGCTTTTAACTCTCAAGAGTAATTTTTATTTCCAAATATATTCTCTGAGTCTTCTTTTGCTTGATAAATTTGAGGCTCTCTGAGCATATATTCCATTGTTTTCATAAGTCAAAGTCTAGGGGAGATGAAGAAGTGCTAATGAAAAGGTTCTTACAGTATTTATTGCCCTTTTGTAAAAATATTACTTTAATTACAAATTTTTATAAGCTTCTTTTACTTCTCATAGAAATTGAATACTTTTTACTCTGTAAATATGTGTACAGAATCCTGAATTCAATGATATGCTGATTATTTAGGATATGGTTAACCACATGGCAAATGAGGACTGCCTCAACTAGGGAGAAGAAGAGCTCATTGAAAAATAATTGGCATAAAAAAATTATAACAATCAGAAAAAATAAAATAATTATTGTTAATTACTCAATATCACCAAATTACAGCTGATTGAAGTCAGAAGAATAGGGTCATTAAGAAATGTTTAGAAGTAAACTTGCGGATTCAAGTTCTGAATGTATGACCTAATGTTGACTGCTTTTTATATGAACACTTTTTTAAAAATAATTCTTTACTGTTGAAAGTATTACATATGTCCCTTTTTTTTCCCCCATTGACCCCCTCCACCCGCCCCCACTGCCTGTCCCAGGCCTTCACCACCCTATTGTCTGTGTATATGAACACTTTTAAACCAATTAAGTCCTCAGGGACCTAATCAACTTTGTGAATATGTCCTTTTCTAAATAAACAGAGATGAGGCAATAACTATATATGTAACATAAAATATACAGCTGAATAGATATAGCTAAACAGACAACTAAAATAATTCAATATTTGAATTTTTATCCTAATCTAATGATATATACAACAAAGAAAGGGTGCTATGGGGCAGAGCGAGTCACTCCAAACGCTGGCACTGTACAACTTATGAACACATATAAACTATGTATTGTATAAGTTTTAATAATACAATAAGAATAACTTACATTTTGTATAACATCACTTTTTTTAAATCTTATTTGTTGGATATGAACATATCGCTTTTTAAAAAAATATATACTTCTTTATTGATTTAAGAGAAGAAGGGAGAGGGAGAGAAAGATAGAAACATCATTGATCAGCTCCCTCCTGCACGGCCCCTACTGGGGATCGAGCCCGCAACCCTGGCATGTGCCCTTGGCTGGAATGAACCCAGGACCCTTCAGTCCGCAGGCCGACGCTCTATACACTGAGCCAAACCGGCTAGGGCTGTATAACGTTCTTAAGTTATCATCTATATTTTATCCTCAGAATATTCCTGTGGGAAATAATAGGAGAGGCATGATTACATTCAATTACCAATGAAGAAACAGGTATAGGGTGGTCACAGAGTGCTTGAACCAGATCTATGTCTTTTTTAAAACATTTATTTTTATTGATTTCAGAGAGGAAGGGAGAGGGAGAGAGATAGAAACATCATTGATGAGAGAGAATCATCCATCAGCTGCCTCCCACATGCCCCCACCCTGGGGATTGAGCCCAAACCTTGATGCCCTGATTCACAGATAGATGCTCAACCATTGAGCCATGCCAGCAGGCTCTGACCTCTCCAGCCTTTCTAAGGTCCTGTTCTGCCTTAGAGATAAGCTTCTTTAACTTCTATGGCAGTAAGAATTCTAACAAGATTTTTAAAAATAGTTACTTTAAAGGAGAATATTCTTGGAAAAAATCTCTAATTGAAAAAATGAAAAATATCTTCAAATGCTACCCAGAGTTAGCACTAGCACCACCACTCAGATTATTTTTGAGTTTCCAGGTTTGGTTTGGTCTTTCAAGATACTGGATACTTACTTGATATGGAATTAAAATTAATCAGGGCCCCTCCATACCTTTCTCTCTAGGTCATACTGCAAGTCATTGGTCTGGAAGAGGTTGTTCTTATAACAGGTTATGTGACACAACATAAATCTGTAAAATGAAAAATGACTTTAAAAAACATAAGTATCTTCACCAAATCCTCAAATAAGGTTAAGGTGTTAGTTTAAAACCAGGAAAAAGACTATAGGAAGATTATAAATTATTCCTTTGAGCTGGATTAGAGTGACCTCCAAGGTCTTTTGTAATCTTGAAATTCTATAATGATTTCCCAAACAGAATATATTGGACTCATTATTCTACATATTCCAGTCCCTAAAGACACAGTGGTGACACCACAAGACAAAAACATCAGACTGGGCTGTTGGTAACATGAATATATGTATTTGTCAAAACATATGGAAGGGTTCTCATAAGATTTGTGCATTCTATGCTTAAAAACATAAATAAAAAGACATCCCCCCAAAAATGTAACCAGGGATACAATTAATTAACTATTTTTTGCTATTTTACTTTTTTAATTCACAAGTGCCTGCTTAATTTAGAAAATTGAACAACTATTGATGAAAAATACATTTATTCTTTAGCTACAGGAATACTTTATATACTATAGATGCTGTATGTTAAGCCATTTCTTTACTTTTTCATAAAGGGTTATAAATAAATGAACACTAAGACATGAATATCATTTTGAAGTAGGAATAATTTTTTCTAATGCTT